GATACATTATTAGCAAACAAAATATCACCATACTACACAGTATCGATTTTTTCCCCCACCCCTAAAAACTAGTATATATCACCTTGTTGCTTTGTCTTAAATTGGTTGTGTGATTGGTTTACCACGACTGCTTTATTCTTCCTCAGCCAATCAGCAGCACCCCTTAAGAAGACAGCTTCAACTGTCTGTGTGTTGAAAAATAGCAACACATCCGCCCCACATGTTCTACGGTGTTGTAGCAATAGAAATAGTAATTAGTTAGATTAGTCAGATTACTCGTTACTGAAAAAAGTAATGCCGTTACTTTTTACGCTCTTATTCCCATCACTGATTAAATGTGTTGACCACAGAAAGAAACATACTGTGACTAACTACATAACTATGACAGAATAAAGTGATGAGTGCTGTATTTGGGAGGAAATCTATCAAGGAATTTATCATTAACACTGAAATCTCCCCTCATAATTACAGTCACAGCTGTATAGTTGAGCTTATCCGACACGTCGTTCAGACTGCAGCGACTCCCTGTGCGGGCATAAACAGAAGTGACTGTGATGACGATGCTGCGGCGAGCGAAGCTCCTACGCGGAGAATATGACCAACAACAACGGTACAAGCAAACAAGAGACCAGTTGTACCACATACTTCGTACCACCACCACCGCTCACCCTGAAACGTGTAGGCAAACTGATACCATAAATTATGGCAGTACTCACAGGTTCGTTCAATTCTACCGTAGCGCTCTTTCCTTCTCCATCAGACACACTGAACGTTTTTCCTGTTGGGTGAACCTGGTCAAGAAAAGCAAAACTAATACTTTATGTCCTCGCTGTTAAACGAGTGGGCCAGTGCATATATGCAGGTGTAGGTTAATCCATATTTATAATTGTTAAAAATAGTTTAACTAGCACTAGCCCAAACCCACCTTTTCAACGCGCCCAACGAAGCAGACACCTCTGCCAATGTGCTGTGACAGCATAGAGCAGTTTATTCTTGGTTTAGAAGCGTCCAGTAGACTTGCCATCTTTACGGTTAGCTTCTTTCACGTTCCTGGACCTTCGACAGCGCAACACAGCGCGGGAAACGCGTAGTCCTGTGCTTTAGTACAAAGGCGCAGCTCAGGCGGGCGGCTTACCCACATTACATGAAAAAACGCCGGACTTGAAATTACGGCCAAAGGGGAATACAAAACAAGCGCCTCTCATTTTTCCAAGCCATATCCGTTGTGCTCTAACATTTTCGTCCGCGGAAACGACAACGAAT